AGAAAATGAGGAGACCTCCTAAGGACTCAGAGCAAAATACCTTGCAAAGAGGGTGACCCTGGGGCCATATGTATCCTGTTTCAGATGAGTCCTGCCTTTCCTTCAGTTTTTCAGGAAAAATTTATGACTTCAGACATAATGTAGGAAAGGCATTAAGTTCTTTATAATTACAATGACCTTTGTGACAATAAGCGAATCACTTAAGCTAATGAAGCCCCATTTAGCTAATCTAAAAAATGAAGAATTTGAGTGAAATATTCTTTACCACTTCTCCTAGGGATGTTAAGAGTTAACAAAAGAATGTCTTTATTGACATGCATATGATCTGGGGGATGGTGAAGTAATCCTTAGCCAAAGAAAGTTGCCAGCAAGCCAGAAACTAAGCCTTCCATAAAGAAGCCCCCTGCCTTGAGCCGAGCAGTTTTGCATGTAAGGATAATTTCTAATGAGTTGTAAAGCATTTAGATGAAAGATCTCACTGGTTCAAAGACATTAGTAGGAAAAGATCCTATTCTGAAGATTAGGGACCTTGGAAGAACAGCAAAAGAAAATGCACCCAGGCACTTGCCATTCTGCAAGGAATTCAAAACTTTCTTTATAAATGACTACAAACCTCTAGGGCCCTAGCTCTGGCCTTCAAGTGAACCAGAGAGCGAAGAGAGCGAGGCTCTGCATGCCAGCGAGCTAAGAGTGTCTCATTTACAAATCAGCAAACTAATCTATTGAGAAAAGTGCTTCAGAGAGGAACCCAGCAATGGCTGATATAAAAGGTGTAAAGACCATATATTCCAACAAGACACTCCCTGTGGTCTCCATGGAAGGAACATACCCAAGGGCCCTCTTATTTACCACTATCAGCATTTCAAACTCTACAGGCATTTTCAAAAAACATTGATTCTGTCATTCTTCAGAGGAACCAAAAGCGATGCTTCCCTGCTGGAGAACCAGCATAGTAAATGATCAGAGGTAAAATCTCTCTCCCTGAATGTTTTTTTTTTTGCCAGGACTTTATACTAGTCTCCTCTCCTTTTCCTACAGTCAACCACATTACCCTCTCCTTTGACCACTTTGGACTCGAAAGCAGCACAACGTGTACACAAGACTTTATAGAAATTTTGGATGGTGATTATGATGATGCGCCCCTCCGAGGTATGGCAGCTCTCACCCCTTCTCCGTGGCCCTGGCTGGGTTTTATTTATAGATTGACATATGCATATGCTGTCATTCCAGGTTAGAACATTTCCAGTGGATACCAAGGGCAGCATAAGCCAAGTAAAAATAATTAGAGGGTAGGAAAGCAGGATTTAATGTGGGGTTCAAGAAACACAGCTTGTTCATATTCAAGGACATGAATGGTTTATGTATTTGCCTTTTAATTTGAAAGTTGCAGCTCCTTCAGATAGCAGTGAAATGTAGTCACTGGCATACGATAGCATTCTGTGAGAAATTTCTTGTTAATATATGACCAGTTCTTCTATTCAGATCGAGTGTTTCTTCTGGTTTTGTCCTCAGTAGAAGCAACAGAGGAATGAATGAATGAATGAATGAATGAAACAATAAATAAATAAAAGCAAAAAATAAAGCAACCCACACACTGGAATTCTGATTGTAAGGCATCGCCGTAAAATTAAAGATTGCCGCTATCTAGTTTCTGAAATATCTTCAAGTAAAATGCCCTCAGGTTATTTAAACTTTCTCGTGAGTGACTCATATTCAAACTTCGTCATACAAGTTTCTTATCCTGCACAAACTCCATCAGAGGAGGGACTTTGTTTTGCTCACTGCTTTATTCCCAGTGGCCAGAACAGTGCCTGAGACAATAGTGGGCACTTGAATACTTTCTGCTGTATGCACTCCTGGTTGTATGAACTTGGCATATTTATCTGTGAGCACTTGACCAAGGATGAGGGTATATTATTTAACAGACACTTACTTAGCACTTAACTTGTTCCGGGTACTAGTCTAAGAACTTTATAAATAGTAACCCCATTAATCCTCATGCCCTTATGATAGAGGTTTCATTATTATTGATGGTCTCTTTTCTCAAGTGGGGAAACTGAGGCGCAGAGAACTCAGGCGACTTGTTTCAGGTCATGCAGCTAGCAAATGGCCGAGCTAGGAGTTGAACCCATGTATTCTGGCTCCAGCATCCACACTTTTTTTTTTTTTTTTTTAAGCTATAATACATTGCTTTTAAGCGTTAGCGCATTTCTTTGTGCGGGACCCTCCTGTGCTGGAGATTTTAACACTAGTTACATTTGGAGCCAGGTATCTACACGTTTCTTACCTCCCTCTGATGCTCTTCAACATGTTTATAAATCGTCTCTCCTATACTTGTATTCATAGTTTGTATTTAATTCTCAGGCATTGTCTCAAACACCAACCCTGTTTTAAATTCTCCGAGTAGTGCTTTCTTCTTCTTAGCTTTGGTCTCTCGTGGTTACTAGAAACCGCAGCCTGTGCTACGTGTCGTTCACTGTCCTTGTCCTGATGTCATTTAGGCCGCTACTGTGGCACCTCCATGCCCCATCCCATCACTTCCTTCAGCCATGCTCTGACGCTGAGGTTCGTCTCTGATTCTCGAGCGAATTCCGAAGGTTTCCATGCCACATATGCAGCATCATCATCCGGTAAGATAAGGTAGCCAGTGGCGCTACCGGGTTAAGGGAAACGTGGTAGACATCCTTGGTTTGTTATTTGGGACTGTTACACCTTCAGAATTGGAAGGTAGTTTCCTGAGATCACCTCTCTGACTAACCTTACTGTCTTCCGATTTAGATTCACCTACTTGTTATAAATTCTAGCAGTAGTAAACTCTGTACCGCATCTTCCTTGTCCCTTCATCTACTGACGGACGCTTGGGATATTTCCATACCTTGGCTCTTCTGCCTCATGCTGCCAATAGTGAGCTCTGGAAGGAGGGAGAATGGGTTGGGATGATCTTGGAACGATCAGTGGTCTCCCTTCATGACGCGTCTGTTAAGGCAGCCCCTGACCGACAGTGTCCATTGGCATCTCTTATGAATGGACAGCACTGTTCTCCCATCTCCCTGGCCTCCCCGCTGGGCTCAGGCAGGTCTGGGTGTTGTCACCCATGGCAGGATGGATGGTGGCATGTAGGCAGGAGGCGAGAGAGGAGCCACCCAGTGCTGGCTCTGCCAGCCGGGGCTGTGCTTTTGGTCAGCTGCCGGCTTCCTCGTTATTAGCAGTTAAAAGCACAGGACACCTGGAAGATCTGTGTCTGCATTTCTGTGTTCTCTGGAGAGGGGAAAGCTGGAATACTGCCTTCTGTTCGAGGCCAGCATCGAAAATCATCCTGGGCAGAAATACTGAGGGGTTGTGGGATTAAAATATGTCTTTTATTACATAAAGTTATAGTTCACAGCAAGAAAAGGCTTTTAGAAGAGAAACTACAGAGATTCCTTCTGACCTACCATATCCTGTGGCTTACAGTTTTCAGTCTTCACAATCTTTTCCTGATGATATATGACATGGATTTTTTTTTTAATTGGAAAAGGAAATAGGATATCCTTTGCTGCTGCTAACAGCTCCTCCCGTGTTCTTTCTCCTTCATCTTACTGTATCTTGCATTCGGTCTTTGCTCTGGCACTCACTTTGTTTCTCTTTTCTTCCAGCTTGTGGTGGAACCTTCCACATGGCTGAAGGCATCTTCAACAGTCCCGGCTACCCGGAAGTTTATCCCTCTAATGTGGAATGTGTCTGGAACATTGTCAGTTCCCCTGGCAACCGGCTCCAGCTGTCTTTTATGTAAATCCTTTTTTTTTTTTTTTTATGGTGTATTGTTTCAGTGTGAATGAGTCTGCAGGAAGGAAGCACGATTACTGATATAATGGACAACTAACAGCATGTGTGTCCAAGCAACTGTTAGAGAACCTGGTAGGAACTTTAGGAAGTCTGTTTCCAAATTTCCTCTGTTTAGTCATAGTTTGGGTTATAAATGGCGTTAAAATTCTCTTGAGAATGGTTCTAGAGCCCTGCCTAATATTATGAGGAAGATATGCCTATGCTCTTTGCATTAATTTGTGGAATGTTTATTTTCAGAGAACAGTAACTGTATCTTTTTTTGAACTAGACACATTTAGAGTCTTCCAGAGAAATACTAACATTCTGTCTTCCAGCAGAAATCCCCATCACAATGAAGCCTTCCTTTCCCCATATACCCCAATCCATCTTACCTTCTGTTCTACTTCCAGAACAATGATTTTGGAAGTTTTCAGGAACTTAATGGTTGGTTTGTAAAATCACTGGTATGTTCCTAATTGAACGGTAAGATTGTTTGAATATGGACTATGGATATGGAATCAATAGTAGAATCCTGCCACATTCAGAGGGGTCTAGAATAAATATTAACAACAATAATGTGTTTTTCGAAAGCACATGGTAAGTGACATGAGCCTTTTTGATGAGTCAGTAGAGAGGTCACCTGTGATATACTGTACTGGTAGGAGTCACTTAACGAATATGGAGTGAAATGATTTTGGTATTTAAATTGCCATTTTAAATTAAAAGTCACTTATTATATCATATCACATATTATTGGGCATAGTTTTGGATTCTAATTCTGTTTTTGAAGAAATAGAATACATAACTTACCTTTCAGAGAAGAGGATTATTTTGAGGACACCGGCCTTATTCAAAAAAGTCTTGCCCCTTCTCCTAGACATGCCATTCTGTGCATCAAGAAAGGATTTTATTTTTATTTATTTATTTAAGAAAGGATTTTTAAAAATGCAAGAACAGTCCCATTCGTGGACCACGTGCAAACATCTGAAGTTGCTTTCTTTCAGTCCATCAATCAGACAGTGCCTCTTCATGGTACAAGTGGCATTGTGTTAACACAAAGACACCCTCTGAGTGCCTGGAAGGCAATGCGAGGTTAAGCTGCCACATGAGAAAGAAGTTTCTGTTCGTTTTTGTCTTAACTAGAAGCTTAAAGTTCTATATGGGAAGAAATCTATATATATATATATGTTTCACCTGATATATATGTCTTCTTTTATCCAATAAGTATTTTTAAGCCCTTATTGTGTGCTCACATAGTCAGCACACGTGACTCACAGGCCAGATGCTTTATACATAATGATGAATAAAACAGGATTATTGTTCTTATGATAAAGTCCAAAGCACTTCACGTGGCTTATGAGGACTCCTAATTGCCAAATAACAAGGCTTCTTTCTTGGTCTTTTTCTAGTCTCTACCACATTCACATTGTTGACTAATCTGATGTTCAGTGAGTGACAGGAACCGAGCCAGGTACAGGGAATGTTTAAGACAGACATCCCATTTGTTGACGAGTTACTAATAAATTAATGCCAAGAAGCTATTTATTTAAAACCTAGAGATTCATTCCATCTATAGGGGATAATCATATACATGTAAAGGCCACCATTAGAGTTTAGGATATCAAATGTAAAATGTATAGCCCAAGGTTGATGCATACCAGATGGTCAGTGAATGTTAAATTATCTCATTCTGCTGTTTCTAAAATACCTTGTGTGGCAGTTCACGGTTAAATCCAAATGGATGATGCTGAGCTCTTTCTAGAAGATAGGAGATAAATACAAAAAGCTAGTTTCGTTCATTTTACTGTTGAACGGACACTAAATCCTAATTATCATATAGACAAATCTTAACGACTCAGCTTTTTTCCTTTATTGTCCATAAGAAGTTAATTTTGATTATTTTGTGTTACTTGCCTGAGTTTTATTTTTAAAATAAATTTTGTAGAATGCAAGATGTTTCTCTTTATGTAGAGAATAATGAGAAGGGGTTTATGGCAAGGCCTGTGAGTTATTTCTGCCCTGGTCTAAACTGTATCCAGATGGGTGCTTGGAAACATGCATGCCCCTGGGTTGTGTGAGAAGCATATGGAATACGTCAAGTTCAAAACCACGGGGTTTGGATTGTGGACACTGTGGTGAAATTGAGTAAGGAGAAAAACTGGAGAAATTATGGTTGAATCTGTAACAAAAAGGAGGGGGGGAGAAATAGAATCTAAAAAGGAGTTTTTTGTAAAATAGATATTTAAAGGAATTAACAGAAAATATATTTTATGCTTGCAGAGTGCTTTTCGAAAGTGATTGATCTTGGTTCAAGAATCAAAATGAGATAATGAGAAACAGTGATTGTACTATTTTTGTTCCCCATCATATTTTTACTAAGAGATCTCAGCCAAAGTATTTGGAAAGAGGGTAGATTTGCTTATAAAATGTACTGGCCTAAAACAAAGACTTCCAAGAAAACAGTAAGCTTTTTAAAAAGTTTAATTTGATTCTTGTATCATCCTACTCTCGTTTTTTAATAAAATGTCTTTTCTATGATTTGGCACTGGTTTATACCAGTGCAGTACTCAAACAGAAAAGACCTTCACTTAGTAATCTTCTGGACCATTGGACCAAACTTAAATGTACATACTGATCACGTGGGATCTTGCTAAAATCTACATTCTGATTTAATTGGTTGGTGGGTCCTGATTCTTCATTTAAACAAGCTCTCAGGCAGTGTTGAAGCTGCTGGACCATGTATTGTACTTTTGAGCAGAAAGGTTTAGATTTGATTTCATGTAAATCACCGGCGGAGACAAATGATCTCTCTTCCCTTCCTACTTTCTGAGAAACCAAACCAAACCAAAACAAAGCAATTTCAGCATATTTCACCTTATTGATAATGTTATGGGTAATGAAATCAAGACTGAATTTAAGTGCTAAACGTGGCAGTCATCCTAAGTATGGATTCGTAACAATTGCTTGCCAGAAGTGGTTGTCGATAGAAACTTTGTATTATAAAGAGTAAATTGTCAAGGAAGACAATGGGGGTAAGGACAAATGTGTAGTCTGCTTAGCTTGAGGAGGATTTTTCCTGAATTCTTCTGCTACTAAGTTTCTGATCATAGCTTGCTGCTAAAGCTGTGTCTGGACTATCGATACAATCTATATTGTAGTAACTCACCTTGATGGGATCATGAGTGCCACAGACTCACTGTTTGGCTAGAGACCTACCAAAGCTAGTATCTGGCTCGAGAAGCAATGGTAGAGCAAGTATGACTTGTTTGTTCCAGCCCTATGCTTGGCAGTGAATGCTTGGAAGTGTGCCTGATACATTCATCCCATAGAGGGGCTTGAGGTGCCCAGAACCTCCAGACCGGTGGTCTGTCATCCTAATTCATTAGCTGAGACAGAGCCCCAGGAGAGCACTCTACTTACTTATCATGTGAAATCACAATGTTGAGCACTGACTGAAAAATACACACAGTAGAGAAGTAAATTTTCTATTCTCGAGACCCTTTTCCCCCCGCTTTCTGACATTTTCTTCTCTGTGGTCTTTCTAGATCATTCTTTCTTCTTTTTATCTTGTCTTGCCTCTTCTCAGCGAAAACTCCCTCCAATTACTTCTGAAAAAAGAATAGTTTGCATACGCTTTCTCTATGGTTTTTTTTTTAACCATTACATTATTGTTTCTTTAAAAATTAATTTTAGGGGCGTCTGGGTGGCTCAGTTGGTTAAGCTACTGCCTTCGGCTCAGGTCATGATCCTGGAGTCCCTGGATCGAGTCCCGCGTCGGGCTCCCTGCTTGGCGGGGAGTCTGCTTCTCCCTCTGACCCTCCCCCTCTCATGTGCTTTCTCTCTCTCATTCTCTCTCTCTCAAATAAATAAAATCTCTAAAAAAAATTAATTTTAAATTAATAAAATGTTACAGGGCAGCAAAAGTCCCCCTTACTTGTTCAACACAGAGTTAACTTGTATCTTGAATTGCATATGTATCACTTCCATACATGTTTTTATAATTTTACTATACATGCTATGTTATATGTGTATAATATGTATAGCATCTATATCTATATATCTCCATATACACTACATAGTATTGCTTTTTGTTTTATATTTTATATAAATGAAATCATACTTATTGGTTGGACAGGAATTACATTGAATTTATACATTAATTTTTAGAAGGATCTTTATTGACTTTTCATATTCTTGAATTTGGAATATCCCTGCATTTATTTTGGTCTTCTTTTATGTCCTTTGTTAAACTTTCACATTTTTTAAATAGAGGTCTTATAGCTAGATACCTTTTTTTGGTTGTTGCTATTGAAAATGGCATCCATTTAAAACTTACAGATGTGACCTGGCCACCTTACCAAAAAATAATACCCTCCTTAAATTATTCTTTCCTCTGATCACTACCTCATTTTATGTCTATTTATTTATTATCTCTCTTTCCTTCTTGAGTAGAAGATCCTGGAAGGGAGGAACATTCTCTATGTTCTTCATTGTCCAACCCCCATGATAGTGTCGGGCAATATAGAAGAGAGTAAAAATTGTTGAGTAAACATTGACTAAGTTGCAGTTTCTAAATTTTTGTTTGCAGGTTTAAGGAAACCCTATTTGTTTTTGCATATCTTATCCAGCAACCATTGTATTCTCTAGAATGACAAAGATTTTTTTTCTCTTTTCTACTGCTGTATCTTTAGTGCCTAGAAGGGAACCTGACACATTAAAGTGCACAATGAATATTTATCAGTGAATGAACCCTCCTGAATATTAATTTACAGCTCCTCTTTTCCAGTTCTTACAACCTTTCCCTCTTTTTCTTGTCTTGTTTCCCTGGAAAATGCTTCATTGTAGTGTGAAACAAAGTGATGAGAGCAGGCTCCCTGTGTTGTTTCTGATTCAAAGGAAATGCCTTAAAATTTTTACCTCTAAGTATATTTGCTGTAGGTGTTTTGTAGGCACTTATCCCATTAAGAAAATTTCCTTCTATTCCTAATTTTCTAGGAGTATTTATGATGAGCGGGTGTTGAGTTTTATCAAATGCTTTTTCTGCATTGTCATTGATTTTCTCTCAGTGTATTTTGCATCTATTTCTGTTAGTTGTGTGTACAAGTGCGTGTGTGTGTTGAATTTTCTCATTGATCTTCTGTTCTTAAAGCTTTGTTAGTACAACTTGATTAGATTTTACAAATTTATGGATCCATTTTGCTTATATTTTATTTAGGATCTTTCATATATATTGTTAAGTTAGGTTGACCTACACTTTTCTTTCTTTGACATCCTTTGACTGGCTTTGCTGTCAAGATTATACTAACCTCAACATGCTGGAGAATCACCCTCTTTTCTATTCTTTGTTGCAGTTTCCATAAGATTGAAGTTGGGCTACTGATTCATTGAAGCTTTGGTAGAGTTCCCCTATGAAATCATCTGGGCTCATATTTTGGTTTGTGTTGTCTGTGCACAACTTTAAATACTGATTTTTGCTTGATTTAATGGATTTTCCTTAAGGTTTTTCATTTTTTTTCTTCAACTAGTTGTATTATTATATTTTTATAGAAAACTAAGAGTTCAAATTTATGGCATAAGGTTTTTAAGGGATATCGTTAAAATTTTTAAAAAATTTAATGTATCTGAAATTAAGTCCTTTTCTTATTAGTTATATTGCTCATTTAAGCTTTCTTTTATTACTGATCAGTTTTTTCAGAAGTTTATACTTTATTAGTCTTGTCAAAGTAATAGCTTTGATATTTTTATCTTTTCTAGTACTTTCTACATTTCTATTTCATTAATTTCAGATGTTTTGTTGTTTCTTTACTTCCCTTGTGTTTTTTTCTGCTTTGATTTTTTAACTTTTAAGATTAGACACCTAGCTCGTTTTTCTTAATATTTGTTCTTTTCTTTTATAAACATCTAAAGCTATTAATTTCCCTCTAAATATTGCTTTGACTGTGCTTTATAAGTTTTTTTAATACGGTTTTTAAGGATTTTATTTATTTATTTATTTATTTATTTATTTATTTATTTATCAGAGAAAGAAAAAGAGAGAGAGAGAGCGTACCCACAAGCAGGGGAAGCAGAGGGAGAAGCAGGCTTCCCACTGAGCAGGGAGCCCGATGCAGGACTCCATCCCAGGACCCTGGGATCAGGACCTGAGCTGAAAGCAGACGCTTAATTGACTGAGCCACCCAAGCGTCCTACTCTATAAATTTTAATACACAATGTTTTCACTCTCATTCAGTCCTAAATATAGTCTAATTTCCATTATGATTTCTTATTTAACACATGGTTTATATAGAAAGACATTTTGTTTCCAAATTATGGGACATTTTGTTATCTCTTTGTTACTCTATTCTAATTTTATTCTATAGTGGTCAGAGAACATGGTTTTTAATAGTTTTAATATTTACTGAGACTTAATTTGTGGCCAACAACATCTATACATTTTTAGACATGTTAATGGGAACATGAAAAGAATAATTGTAGAGAATTTGTAGATTCAAATTACTGGGTGTTATAAAAAGCTTTGTTGTTGCTGTTATTGTAATTCACCATCTTATGGAAGTCACAAAAATCATCTGTTTTAGTCCTTAGTATGTTTGAAAAATAATTCTATAGTCAGAAACTGCTCCTTTAAAAGTTACTAATTTATTTTTAGCAACCAAATCCTATAGCCTGTCCTTAGTCTCAGATCTGTGCATCATTTGACACTCATCATCACTCTGTATCACCCTCTGTTTCATTTTCTCTCTTGGCTTTTATGACATGACATTGAACTTGTTTTTAGTCCTCTTTTTCACACTTACTCCTGGGTTTGCTGTTTCCCCTTCCTCCTAATATATTCAAAATGCAGGTGTTCCCCTAAGCTTCTGTTGTCATCTCTTCTCTCATTCTCTTTCTATTAATTATCTCCCACATGTTCATTTCTAAACCCCCAGTCTAGCCATGCTTTCAGCTTTTATCATATACACACAGATGATTTCCAAGTATAGCCCCAGCGTATCTTCTGAAGTCCAAACTACACATTAGCTCCAACAGATAGTTCCACTTTGGTAATACACCATTATGTTAGATTCAGCATATCTAAAAACAAAAATATATTTTTCTGCTGTCCCCAGTTACTATATTGTTATATTATATTGCCATTATATGTTACTGCAGAGTAATTTTCTCAAGCAGATCTGTGGTGATCTAATTTTACCACTTAAAATTCAAGTGTTTTTTTTTAATATGGTAAAAGATATATAACATAAAAAATAGCATTTTACCTATTTTTATGTACACAATTCAATGGCATTACATACATTTACAGTTCTGTGCAACCATCACTACTATCCTCTTCTTTATTTCTCTTGGGTAGTTATCTTGGAGAGGAACTTCTGAGCCATTAGTTGGATGTGTATTACATTTCATAAGAAACTGCCAAATAATTATTCAAACAGAAATATATGAGACTTCTAACGTGCTTGCTAACATTTGATCTTGTCAGTCTTTTTCATTTTAGCCATTCTGATGGGTATGAAATGATAACTTACAGTGATATTTAATTTACATTGTTCTGATGCCTAATGACACAGAGTACTTTGGACATTCTCACCGGCTATTCACTCAACTTCTTTTAAGAGTCTGTTCAAACCTTTTGTCATTATTAACTTGGTTATTTGTTTTTTCGTAGTTTATTTGTAGGATTTCCTTTCATATTTCAGATATGAGTGCCTCGTTAGATATATGCTTTGTAATTATATCTTCTTCTCCCCCTGCACAGTCTGTAACTTGTCTATTCATTTTCTTAATCATGTCTTTAATGAGGAGAAATTTTAATTTTTGATGAAGTTGAATTTATTAATTTTTTTAATCTTATGGTTAATGCCTTTTGCATTCAATCTAAGAACTATTTGCCTTCCCCAAGGTTGTAAAGACATTCTCTGTTTTCTTCTAGGAGATTTATGTTTCTGGATCTTATGTTTACATCTATAAGGAATATTAAATAATTTTCTATGTATGGAGAGAGGCAGAGGTTGAGGGTTTTTTTTTCCCTCCATAAGGCTATTCAGTTACTGAAGCACCACCTGTTAGAATGATTTTCTTTTCCCCATTGAATTGTCTTGGCAGTGTGGATTGGGTTGTATTGACTACATATTTATATATCCAAGTTTATAAAACACTAAGGCCAAGTTCTGAAAGCATTCATTTAGCATGTACATGTTCCAGACTCTGTATGTTACTAGTGTTATTCATGAAATAGATATTATTTACTATCTTTCATTCCCCCGTGTCATCATAACTGCAGAATATAATACAAGTTGAATAGGCCACATTTCCAAATACTAGCCTGTATAATTACAAATCCCATATTTATTCTGCCTTTTCAGAAATGAAGTACAGATACCTTTGATTGGCACTTAAGCTCTGGCAAAATTAGCCCATCATACTGCTTCAGTTAGGTCTTCTCATGTTTTCCTAAAGGTACCCAATGTTCTAACCAAACTAGACCTCCCACAGATTTCTAAATATGCCCCACCTGTATGTGTGTGTGTGCTTTTACTGACATGCATTTTCAGCTCACCATTTCTGCCTTAGATCCAGTTGATGTTTATATTTCCATCTCAAAAAAATCTCTCCATCAAGCTAGCACTGAGCCTTACAATCAGATGTGATACCTCTGCCTCAAAATCTTATAATACTTTTAGATCTGAGGGCACTTAAGATATTATGCCTTATAAGATATATTTTTTCCTGTATTCTAGAATGCCCAATCTTTCCCCCTAGAAAGAAAACTCCTCAAAGGCAGTGTATTAATTGCCTTTGTAGTTCTTTAATAGGCATTTCAACAAATTTGACTGAAAGAAATATTTTGAGTTGGCTCAAAGATATTGTTGTGAAAGCTAAAGAAAGTTTTATAAAGAACAGTTTAACCTAGCAGATGTTTCAGGATAATCCCAAAGCTTATTCTATCAATTTAACCTTCCTAAAGCTTATTCTATCAATTTAACCTTCCTAAACTCTTTTTTTTTTTTTTTTTCCAAATTAGAACTTTCCAGTTGGAGGATTCCCGGGACTGTAGCAGAGATTTTGTGGAGGTCCGTGAAGGAAACGCCACCGGTCCCTTGGTGGGGCGATACTGTGGAAATGTCCTCCCCCTCAATTACTCATCCATTGTTGGGCATATCCTGTGGATCAGATTTGTCTCAGATGGCTCAGGCAGTGGCACAGGCTTCCAAGCCACATTTACTAAAAGTAAGTTGCTTCTTTTTTATTGATGTCTTCCAGAAGACATCCTATGAACTAGAAAGGATAACAAATTTCTTAATAACACACAAAGTTAAGAATAATCCTGAACTCTATTCTCTTAATTTTATTGTATTTGTGGAATTACTTGATCTTGAATTTTATTATAAAAACTAAATTATATATGAATGGCCCACTAAGAGCAAGGGAGAGCATTCTCAATGACTCTAGTATTCTCTTTAAGCTCTAGTTTCTACCTAATATTATATTAAACTTTTTTGTATGATATTTTTTAGAGCCTTCTGATACATTGTAGCTCAGGTTTAATATATTGATATCAACTGTATTTCATTTGTTCTCATCAACTCTATATTCTTCAAATTCAAAATATTTAGTATTATTTTAGGATCAAATTAAGTGCTCAGATATAACAGGGTTTTCTTCTAATAGAATAAAACATGAAGGGGCGCCTGGGTGGCTCAGTTGGTTAGGCAACTGCCTTCGGCTCAGGTCATGGTCCTGGAGTCCCGGGATTGAGTCCCTCATCGGGCTCCCTGCTCAGCAGGGAGTCTGCTTCTCCCTCTCCCACTCCCCCCTCTTGTGCTCTGTCTCTAAAATAAATAAATAAAATCTTTAAAAAAAAAAA